GCTGGTAACCTGCATGAATGACCTGAACAGTCTGACTTTGACAGCTCAGGTTCTGGTCATCGGGGCCACCAACAGACCAGACTCCCTCGACCCGGCCCTCCGCCGAGCTGGACGCTTCGACAGAGAGATCTGTCTGGGTATACCTGATGAGTCCGCTCGTCTCAGGATTTTAAAGACTTTGTGTCGTAAGCTGCCGCTGCCCTAAGACTTTGACTACCATCAGCTAGCTCGGCTCACCCCAGGCTATGTCGGAGCTGACCTCATGGCGCTCTGCCGTGAGGCCGCCACGGCTGCCGTGAAAAGGCTTCTGCTGGAAATGAGGGCTCCTCCACCGAGCCAGCTGCAGAGCTCTGCTGAAGAAGGAAGCAGGGAGCAGGCGGAGGCTGGAAACCACCACCAGCAGGAGGAGCTATGGAAGTGGCTGAACCTGATGAAAGCCACAGAGACGCTATCGGAGGAGGAGCTGGTCGGCCTGTCCATCCTCATGTCTGATTTTCAAGAGGCTCTGTCCAGGGTTCAGCCTTCAACCAAGAGGGAGGGCTTTGCCACGGTCCCTGACATCACCTGGGAGGATGTTGGAGCGCTGCAGGAGATCAGAGAGGAGCTCAACATGGCCATACTTGCTCCAGTTCGTTTTCCACAGCAGTTCAAGGCTTTAGGTCTCAGCGCTCCATCTGGGGTTCTGCGGGCTGGACCTCCAGGCTGTGGAAAAACCCTGCTGGCCAAGGCGGTGGCCAATGAGTCAGGCCTCAACTTTATCTCTGTGAAAGGTCCAGAGCTGCTCAACATGTATGTGGGCGAAAGCGAGCGGGCGGTCAGACAAGTCTTCCAGAGAGGACGCAACTCGTCCCCTTGTGTGATCTTCTTTGATGAGCTGGATGCTTTGTGTCCACGTCGTTCAGGCCACGAGTCAGGAGCCAGCGTTCGGGTTGTCAACCAGCTCCTTACAGAGATGGATGGTTTGGAGAGTCGACAGCAGGTCTTCATCATGGCTGCAACCAACAGACCAGATATTATCGACCCTGCCATACTGAAGCCAGGCCGTCTGGATAAAACTTTGTACGTGGGGCTGCCGTGTCCAGCAGATCGTCTCGCCATCCTGATCACTGTGACAAAAAATGGGACCAAACCGCAGCTGGAGAAGGATGTGTCTCTCGAACAGGTCGCAGATGATCAACGCTGTGATTGCTTTTCTGGCGCTGATCTGAGAGCATTAGTGAGGGAAGCATCTGTGAACGCCCTGAAGGCCCAGCACTGTGGCCCCACACACCCCTCCGACTCCACAGCTGACATCAGAGTGAGCCGACAGAACTTTGAGGACGCCTTCAGGACGGTTCGACCGTCCGTGTCAAAACAGGACCAGCTGATGTACGAGCAGCTCAGAGAGTCCCTCAGCAGATGATCAAACCAAAACAACACCAAGAACTTTTTGTTCATGGATCTCACTGTGGAGGAATCATATAAATTAAAATATGACTAACATTTTTGACACTTCTTTACTCTGTGGTGTTCAGAGACATTTCAGCCGTACTCCTGATTATCCTTGGAGCTTTATTTATTTTTTCAGATTATCTGTCTCATGTCCATCTGTCAGGACATACTGACAGTTTTAAAAAATATGTAAAAATATAAATACATTTTTACTAAAGTTACCTATTGCAGCTTCAAAGTCACCTGTAATGTATGTAGAAAACAAAACAAAATATTTTCAATGAAACAGTTCTATTTAATCCAAGCAGCTTTTCAAACTGACTGATGATGTAATGAATGGGGGATTGAGTTTCACAGAGCCAAACACCAAAGCAGTTTTAACAATTTTATTTAAATGGTGAATGCTGGATCTGGAGTAACAGGACACGGGAATCAGGAGTTCTGAACACAGGAGAATAAGGTTAGTGGCTGGACTTGACAGTGGGACAAAACATGAGTAAAGGAAAGCCACTAACCTTTTACTGAAGCGTGTGGGACGGACCRAACTCCTGAGTGACACGGAGAGCCTGGGATGATAGTTCGCTGTACTTTCCGTGTTTGTCGGCGCGACGTCGGGGAAAATCCTTAGAACGAGCTGTGGTCATTAACGGGAAGGCTGAAGACAAAAACAAGTTAGAGGGGCAAGGACTGAGGCGTGGTCGGGGTACACGGACGTGGGTCAGGACCAGGAAGTCAGAGGCAGCGACGGTGTCAGACGGGGGTGAGGCAGGAGGTTTGAGTCCGAGGAACAGAAGGAGGGTCGTAACGAGGCAGACAAGACGTGACATGAGAATTGCTGGATAACTACTTGGCGTGAACTGTTCATAAATCTGGCACTGGTGCTGTGGAGGAGTGGAGCTTAAATACTAGTGACTGCAGGTGAGTGGAATGAGCTTGATTGGAAATTTCTGTGACGGGAGGGGTGAAGCAATGAGTGACAACTTGGCTGTGAGAAACTATGACATGAAGTGAAAGCAGGACAGGCGTGATTCATGACAGATGAAGCAGCTTCTCAGTAAAATGTCAGGCATTAGAACATTTTTATGCCCATTAAATGCTGTTCCATCATTAAGTAATTTTAAATCTCAGATAAACAATAAAATAAAGAAAGAAGAAAAATAATAATCACCTTGWTCCTTCTTCTACTTCCTCCCAGAAGTTAGAAATAATTCATTTATATGTTTAAATGGCATGTAACCCRGTCTTCAGGTCAGAATGAGACAAATGTTCTGCATCTCATTTCAAAAGGTGAAACAAAGAAAAAAACAAACAACCCTCTCCCTCTCCTGAGGGAGAATGATCTAATCACAGTTTTGAAATAAAAGCACTGGCTGAACCATTTTAAACAAAAAACAAACAAATGAGGGGAAAAAAATCATTTCAGCACAAAACATTTTCCCAAAAGTTTCATAAATTTAAGTTTCACTTCTTTGTCTTCAAATGAAATAATTTTCACATTTCACCCTGAGTTAGTAAAACACATCTGTTTTCATGCATGGAGGTCTAATGGAGCAGGAAATAAACAAAACGGCTGTCTGCTGGGTCTCTGAGACCTTTCCATCGACAGGCATTTTTTGATGATTTGTTTCTTTCTGCGTTTGTGGTAATCCCAGGGAGGGGGTATATCATTACCTCGAGCCTGGAACGCCACGAAGACGTATTTGAGGGAGTATTAGCCCGTCTGGGTTTTTTACCTGCGAGGTCCGGGGAGCTGGTGAAGTGCTGTTCAAACGGCGTCTATGTCTTTCACAGAGGACTAGTTCTAGGCTTACATTAGGATTTAGCTTAGGTGTAACATGAGGAGGGTGGAGCTCTTACCTTTAGCTTAATTTAATTAGATTTTAGGTTTAGCATTTGTTTGTTATTTTTTTGTTACACATTTGTTTTTTATTTTTTCTTGCACAAGCCAGCTTATGCCAATAATCCATTGCACTATTTTTATCTTATTTCTCATTTTATATTTGTTGAGCGATGCATTTGTGGAACTGACTTATAATAATTATTCCTTTTTCCATTTCTCGTTTTGAGTATTTTCTTTACTCAAGAGGAGGGAATGTTGTGGAATACTTATTTCTGTATCACCTTGACACTGTCCACTTTTCATATCTTGTGATATCCTTCCAGACGTCAGCATTAAGTTGACCTATTTCGTGTATCAGGATGGGGCAGGTTGGGATTGGTTGTTCRTTATCACAYRATGTTAGCTGACAGTATATCATTGCTTGCCGGCCTATGACAGGCGGGCCCACATCAAACAGACTTCGTGATTGTTTTCTGTTCCATGTCTGCCCATCAATAAATGACTTTATGATCATACCCGCAAGACTATTTGTCTTTTTAACACCTTTTCGCCGTGTTTCTGACCATCTTCCCGCGACAATGAGAATAGTCATAACATTACGAGATTAAAGTCGAGAATAAAGTCATAACATTACGAGATTAAACTCATGAGAATAAAGTCATAACATTACGAGATTAAAGCCATATTATGAGAATAAAGTCATAACATTATGAGATTAAATTCACATTATGAGAATAAAGTCATAACATTACGTTACATTACATTATAAAATGTAAGTCGTAATACTAAGTCGTAATACTAAAAAGCATGCAGTTATCACTGCATTCAAATGAGGAATGTTGAGCAACTCAAATTATCAGTAACAGGACTTGGACATTGTGCAAATGACTAAACTGAAGYCGTATTGTAATTAATGGATGCATTGACAGATTTAGTTATGTAGCTAATTTGGATGAAAGCTTATTAATCTAACAGTAACCCAGGTCATCATGGACTACTTTATAAACAGACACGTCTGTACAGTGTGGGGAAAATAAGGAGGAAATGAGAAACGGAAAATGGACACGTCATGTAAGATACTTTTTTTTCTTGTAATATTACGACTTTAATCTCGTAATATTGACTTTATTCTCATAATATTACGACATATTATGACTTTCTTCTCATGATAATAAAAAAATGTACAGTATATATATTGTTCTGTGGCCCTAATTTTACGTCATAGAATTAAAAATAAAGACACACATGGGACAACCGTGTGGTCTCATTCTGGTTGTGTTCAAACTTCCTGCGACGTCCTCGTGGACGTTTTTAGTCCTTTTGGAAACGTGTTCACAACAGTCCCAGCTCAGTTACTGGCTTTAGTGGAAGAACTGCTCACAAACAACAAAACCCATAACCTGATCCTTTAAAGACTTAAATAAAATAAATTAGAATCTTTAAACTGAAAAGACTTCATTTTGTGTTTTATGTCGTTTTCACACGGTGAACTTTTTAAATCAACATTTAGCTACAGATTTCAGTAGAGTTCTCAATTCCTTCACCTGGTCTGAAACCTAAACAGAAAACAGAAGAATGGACCCGGTCCCCCCGTAACAAAATGCCCACCTGATCCAAACTGTACAAGTTATCTACATCAGAGACCAGCTCCGTCTCAAACCTTTTCCTTAGGAAAAATAAGAAAACCCAGTTGATTCAGAGTCTACAGCACAGATCTGCTACAGCAGCTGAGTCTGGACGGAACCGGACTCTGTGGGGCCCGAAGGTTCTGGAACTTCATTTAGGTGGAGGAGGCCATATGGGGAGGGGGTGGGCCTCCGTGTTGAAGACATACTTGTCCAGACTGAGCAGCTCCAGGTCATCAGAGAAGAGCAGGAACAAGTATTTCAGGGTCTCACCCAGGAAGAAGCTCTCCATCTTGTCCCGGGGAGCCGGGTTCGCCGGGTCGCAGACGTTGTTGATGGAGGTGTAGCCGCCACCAGGAACCTGCAGGTGGAGGTCAGGTGGTCAACGACTCAGAGGCACTTTAGTTTACTTAAAAGATTTTCTTCAAACAAACAGTTTTTTAAAAATAAAATTACCCTGAAATCTCCTTCAGCTGAGCAATGATTTTGTCTCATGCTAATATTAGCATTTAGCCTCTGTCTTGGTACAGCCTAGCATTTAGCAACAATTATGCTAACTTCAGACATTTTCTACTGTTTTGCTACACTTTCACTTGTTAGTTACATCTTCAGCTTTTAGCTACAGTGCTGCTAACCTTTCATTTCAGTGTTGCTAAATATAACTTGATGCATTGTTTCTAACTAGATTTTAGCTATAGCTTTAAAAACATTTAAATTTTACCTTTGGTTTAGACAGTTTTAGCTTTTAGCAATAGCTTTGCTTTCATTTCAGCTTTGAGTTATGTTTATTTGCCAACTTTAGCTTTTGGCTATGGTTTTGCTTACTTTAGCTTCTAGCTGCAAGACTGCTAACTACAACAGTTAGCTAAACGATGCTAATTTTAACAACCCGTCTGTACTTTGGTATATTTATTGGACTAGTACAACCCAACCCGTCAGTACCTTGGTATATTTATTGGACTAGTACAACCCGTCAGTACCTTGGTGTATTTATTGGACTAGTACAACCCAACCCGTCAGTACTGCGGTATATTTATTGGACTAGTACAACAACCCGTCAGTACCTTGGTGTATTTATTAGACTAGTACAACCCAACCTGTCAGTACCTTGGTGTATTTATTGGACCAGTACAACCCAACCTGTCAGTACTTTGGTGTGTTTATTGGACTAGTACAACCCAACCCGTCAGTACCTTGGTGATTGGACTAGTACAACCCAACCCGTCAGTACCTTGGTGTATTTATTGGACTAGTACAACCCAACCCGTCAGTACCTTGGTGTATTTATTGGACTAGTACAACCCAACCCGTCAGTACCTTGGTGTATTTATTGAAGCTCTGCAGGATCTCCCAGCCCCAGTCTCTGTATTTGGGGTCTTTGGTGAACCTGAACATGTAAAACAGACTCTCCACAGTCTCTGGTCTCAGCAGGTTGTGTCGGTCGGCCGGCTGGGGGACAAACAGAGTCTCAGTTTGATGGATAATGAAAACACATAAAACAGATGTAATTGTACAAAGACTTGTTAGCATAAAAACCATGAATTAGGCGTTGAAAAGTGATTTATTTACACCAAATGACTGGTTGGAGGTAAACTAAAGGCCAACATTTGTTTCTTCAGTTCTGCTCAGAATTTGAATGAGCTCCTAAAATGTTTCCTGATTATATCTGAGGTTAATGAAGGCAGCAGCYGAATATTCATCGCTGTGAGGGAAAAAACCAGTGCTGTTAATGGAAAATGAAATGAAGCCTGAGGAGGGTTAGGAAGGTCATGGTCACTTCTCTCAGAAACAAATGTGGCTCTGGTAATTAAAATTTTATTCAACAGGGCTGGCTCGAGCTTCTCTCGCTGATTTTTGTTATTTTAGATTCTTTGAAAAGGCAGACTGTGCTTTGTAAAACAGGCCTAACAATGTGGATTTGATTTCATGTTTTTTTAAATCAGGTGATGTTTCCAGTCGTTGTAAAAAAATATTCTGAACAAATTTAACTGCACCATAAATATGCTCCTGGAAATACTGGAACATGTTTGTATGGGCTTTAAAAACTGCAGGCTTAAAATACTACTAATAAATTGTATTATGTAGAAAAAGAAAAAAATGTGAAAATTTTGGATAAAAAGTACAAAAAAAAAAGAGAAAAAAATTAAGCAAAAATGACCCAAACAAAATAAACAAAACTTTATTGTTCGCTGTCACCTTGACGACAACATCCTTCCCGTAGCTGGCCTGCAGGCTGAAGTGGGCGATCTCTGGGCTCAGGCCCGTCTCCATCTGTTTGTACATCTGATGGCACGTCTCCATCAGCTGCACCGCCAGGTCCATGTGGTCCCCCGGGAGCCCGTTCTGGACCCCCAGAGCCAGAGTCCCTGGCAGGAAGCACACCAGGTGGTCCTGCAGAGCAGACAGGTGATGAATGGTTACAGAGGAACAGCAGTGCAGAGGTTAATTGGTTTAACGAGATTATTATTATCTGGATAACTAAAAGTGACGTCTTGCTCTCCCTCTGACTGAGAGCTCAAAAGGTTAAAGAACCAACTTGTTTTGCTGACTTATCGTTGAAAATCTGTCCCCGGCACTCAGAGCTGTTCAGCTTCATTACCATTCATGGCTGAAGTGCCCTTGAGCAAAGCAATTAACCTCCCACACCTGCTCCTCACACGCAGTGAACAACTATAGTTTCTATGAGGGTGTTGAACGTGTTCTAAGAACTGAGCTCCTTCAGTTCTAACTGGATTTAATAAAAAGATATGTACCATCTTAGGACTGAAGCGGTTGTGGGTCAACTCTCCGATGAAGGTCAACCTGCTGGGTCCCGTCTGCCTGACCAGGTGCTTCTTCACTCCCTCGACTGCCTGAAGGTAATCCTCCAACAAGCTGGACAAAAACAAATAAGACATACTGTATAACCATTCACTGTGTGACGGTTTGAAGAGTTCACATTAAAACGTTCAGCTCATTTATGGTCCATGTAATATGTGCTCATTAATTATTCGTTTTCAAAACAGATACTGAAAGACGAGAAACACTTATTCTATTTTCATTCTATACTCCAAAAACAGAAAACGGTTCATTTTTTCCCCTCAAACACAAAGTTTAACACAGTGGTTAAACTTATTCCAACTCCTGAAACCCACACTGTCGGTATCTTGGATAAAACAAATGTTTTTTCATTTTTTTCCCCTCACTGACAATGATTAGAACTGCCTTTAACATCCTTAAAACACTTAATCCTTAAAAAGGTTTATAAACCTTAACAGTACTTTTTACATTTTGTACCCCCCCCCCCAACTTCTTTGTGCTAATTTTAGCTTTTTTCTGCTTTTTCAGCTATCTTTCTGCCATTTGTCTGTTATTTAAAACTGAATTTCCTCTCTGCGAGACAATAAAGACTGTTTCTATTCTATTCTATTCTAAAAAAAATAAAACAAACATGAAGGCAGATGGAAAACTGTTGTCTGTCTGTCTGCCTGGCTCAAAACATTCTCTTCTGTTCCCAAACAACTGATTACAGAATTTGTCTCTCTCCTACATGGCCTTGAGCTGTTGGACTAAATCTTCCTGGATGCTTACATCAACTGAGGCTCTGCCCCCCCACCCACCCATCTGTGATCTGGTTCCTGGAGCAAGCTGAGGGCCGCACAGAATGAACACTTAACATCCATATTCTGGACTATGGCTGCGCTGGTTTTGGAGACTGGATTCTTCGGGCTCATTTTTCAGATATTCACACAAGCATAAAACACTCATGGCTTCAGATACACACAACCCTAAACTCACTTGCTCCTCTGGCTAATAAATCTGTTCTATGCTGAGGTTTTTTTTAAATAAACACCATAGTGTGTCACATTGTTGATATAATATGATGTTTTGTTTTGTTTTTTCCCTCATCTCCCCTTGTGTGGTTTTTAGTTTTTCTGTAAAGGGTAGCGCCTCCTCATGATGTCTTCATGAAGATGATCCTTGCTCTGTGCAGGCTCTGTGGCCGCATGACCCAAGGCACCTGTTCTCCTATGTTCGTTATATTCTGTCTTCTTCTGAATGGGTGTTCTGAACTGTAATTTCATTGTGCTCTGTACRATGACAATAAAGGTCTAATCTAATCTAAACTTTTAGTCTTCCATCAGCTTCTTTTGATTAATTTGGGATTTTTTTCTTATTTTAATTGATTTCTGCAAGTTTAAGCTGATTTTTGTTTTTAGCCACTTTTTAGTTACTTCTGCTTTTATCATCCAAATTCCCCATTTTGTGAAAATGTCAGCTTCTTACCGCTTAATTCAGCTAATGTGCTCTTTCTGCATTCAGCTGCTTTTCAAATTCAGCTTTAGCTGTTTTATAACAAATTGCAGCTGTTTTGCTCTCCTTCGTTTTGTTTTTCTGCCAGAGTGAGCTGCTTTACTCTCCGTTCACCATCTGTCTGCTAATTTCAAACTGTTTAGGTTTGTTTTTCTGTTTTCAGCTAAAGTCATCTGTTCTAATTTAACTCACATTCAGCTGCTTCAGCAGTTTAGGACCTCATGAAATGATCCAGTTTCTAAACACAGCAGTTACTCGTGACACAGATTAGTATTTTTTCCTGCAGTAAAAATAGTAAAAGATGAAATTACTCGTCTTCAGTCTTTCCTCCCTGGATCCATTGTTTCAGCAGGTACTCGTAGTAACTGTCGGCTCTGGCACCGAGGGTAAAGACGCCTTTGTGGCTGAACTGACCGCTGTTGGTGTTGATGAACATGGGCACCAGGCCGTCGTGTTTCCCAGGGAGCTTGTGGACGAGCCTCATTATCTCATTAGCAACATCCTGGAAGAGTAAAAACAAAAAGAAGAACCTTTTTGAAGATCCTCAAAATGGCAAATTAAAATCCATGCAGACAGAGCCTGACCCCAGGTCCTGACCTGGTACTGGGGGTCCTGGGTGACGTGGCTCAACTCCCTGAACTCCAGCTGGATGCTGGTGACTTCAGCCAGCGTGCTGTCTGACGTCCATCGAGGCGGGTGGGCCGTCCCCGACCCGATGTTCACGTCCGAGAACGGGATCTTTGAGGGGGTTTTGAAGGCGGGCATCAACCTGGACCCAAGGTCTTTCTTTGAGCAGGACGAGGAAAGAGAGTCAGAGAGAAAAGTAGCAAAAAGTTTACTTAAAGCTAAATATTTTGAAAAGAATAAAATTACAAACCAAACATGATTCTTCCAAAATCAATGAATCCTAAAGATTTTTTAGTTTCAAATGTTTCAGTTAAGATGAAGCAAACAGTGATAACTTCAACGTTTAGCTGCAGCACTGACAACTTTAAAATTTACCTRCTGTGGTGCTAACGCTAACTGTTAGCATCAGCATTGTTAAATTTAACTGTTAGCTACAGCAGTGCTAACTAGCTCTATAGTGCTAACTAACTGTTAGCGTCAGCATTGTTAAATTTAATGGTTAGCTGCAGCAGTGCTAACTAGCTCTATAGTGCTAACTAACTGTTCGCATCAGCATTGTTAAATTTAATGGTTAGCTGCAGCAGTGCTAACTAGCTCTATAGTGCTAACTAACTGTTCGCATCAGCATTGTTAAATTTAATGGTTAGCTGCAGCAGTGCTAACTAGCTCTATAGTGCTAACTAACTGTTCGCATCAGCATTGTTAAATT